ATTAGCAATTCAGTGTAGGGTATGGTACATGTACATGTAATAGCCATATCTATATTCTAAATTAGAAAGCACATGTATTAGAAGGTGGCTTCAAAATCAAGACACGCCCACTCACTAATGAAGACTCTTGCAGTACTCCTAGTATTGTCTCCAGTTGATCTTCTCTTAGGTTAATGGACTCACTTACCTAATGTCATAAAAATACAAGTAATACCTTGTATGAACAATACATGCATACACACATTTTATGGCCCAAACTTTTTGTGAATATCTGGTAAAACTTTTGTGAATGCACCTTGGCCTAATATGGCTCAATAAAGAAGTAAAACGTTTTAGGAATTAAACTTTCACATTTTCCAAAAAATCACTAAATAAGCAAAAAAATTATGTACTGTACATTGTAATGATTGCATGTATACCATACCATCATACACGGTATAAGCTTAAAACCATACAGTAAGGCTAAACTTTAAATAGTCAAAAAATCCAATTTAAACTCTCTGCACAACATTTACATGCACATGGATCAGAAAACATTTTACTAATAATACAATTAAAAAATAACTTAATTTTCTGAGTGTTTTAAGAGCCAGTAGTCTCACAGACTGTATCTCATCATTGATCATGTCTATAAGGAAGTCAAGAGAGGCGTGGCCAAACTCAGAGCTCCTCCCACTCAGCTGACCCATTGACTGTATAGCAGCAGATCTGACCTCCATGAACTCATCCTCAGTACAATGAACAAAAGCACCACATGAACCTGAACTCATTAGAGTAACCTGAGAGGAGAGAGGGAAGAAGAGGGGTGAAACAAAGGGGGGGAAGTCGCAAAATTTATACAAATCAATTTCATATACATGTACATGTAGTCATGTATATCATGTACATAAATTTATACTGTACATGTACAAAGGAAAGATATAAGCCCAATATAATTAACATATAGACTCTGTAACAATGTACATGTACATGTACATAAATTTATAAGTATACAGAGATTTAAGGCCAGTAAACACTGTAACAGATAGTAACATATCATTTAGTATTAGAAAGGAAAAATAGGGACAAAATGGTAGAGGGAAATACATGTACATGTATTAATTGAAGTAGTCCAAAAAGGATACATACACTGAACATGTACAGTACAAGCCAATAAAAACTTCGCGTTCCGTTTACGTTGAACGGCCGTTGGGCGTTTCAACGCTATATAAAAAACGTTTACTTCCGTTTATGGTCCGTTTTTCCATGGAGCACGTTTTTACGTTGGCTCAACGTTTTGTCCTTGCCTCCTTGGTTTTCTCGAGTTTTCTTTACTCCACAGATACTACTATGCTTGTTCTTGACTGCCGCTCTGGAGATACTACTGTCATATCAGTTCAGTGTGGACCTCAACTCAAGGAGACGCTGTGTGAAGTCGAGGTGTGAAGTACTCGTGTCGTTGGAGGACGGGCCACCAGGCTCGGTGTAGTCTCCATTTATTGTGTGATAAGCATTAGTTATCAGTATCATTACTATTTCTATTATTATTCTACTCTTACTTTCAAAAACTTGTATTATATATTATATATTTTTATTTTATAAAAGATTCAAGCGTCATGCATTTTGATCTTGGTACTAGCAGGTCTATAATTACATGACTTTATTTTATAAATGATAATAATATAATAGCTGCTTCTTTGCTTGACAGAGCACTCTTTCTTGTGACTACTTCTTGTCGTCCTATTGAATCATACAACATGAGAATAAGGTGGGTGAATTATATAAAATGCATGTCGCTACGTTTATGACTTACCTGTCTGGTTTTATCATCAACCATGGCTCATAGTCGTTTTGTAAGTGTATCTAAGAAAGCCTGACTCCTGAAGAAACTGTCAGAAAAGAGAAAAGTCGAGCAACGCTTGGAGCGTTGTTCATGAAAATAAAAACGGTAGTGCCCAGACCCAACGGACCATGAACGGAACAACCACAATAAAAACGGAAACGGCGCTACCGTGTAATCGCCGTTCAACGTAAACGGAACGCGAAGTTTTTATTGTCTTCTACTGTACATGCATGAGGAAATGTATGTACATGTAGGGAATTAAGAGAAAGGGAAAGAGGAGTAGGGAGAAAGTAATACATTTACATGTACATGTACATGTGTACATGTACATGTAAATGTATGAATATCTTTAATTATTTAGCTGTACTTCAGATGGGTCCAGGTTCATTTTAGTAGGGCCCCCTCCCCACCGTTGACCAGTGTCCCATGACCCTTGAGTGTGGAGCTCACGGGCTCTATCATGATCACTCTTCACATAACGAAGGTGAGACATTAGCTTCTTGTCCAGATTCTGGAGTAGAAACCTTTCACTGACGCTAGTGAACTGCCCAAGGAGAGAAGCAGAGAGACAGCGTACCTGAAGGGATCCATCAGTTACCATACCACACGTCTTTATGAATGCATCATCCTCCAATGATAGAGTAACACTGGGGTCCTTTGAATGAGGTATGGTACTATAAAAGGAGGGAGAGGGGGGAGAGAGGGAGGGAGAATAAAAGGGTAGGAGAGGAGACAGAAAAGAATTTAAGATGAAAGAAAATAAAGGGAAATCACAGAGAGAAAGAGAGAAAGTGTACAAAGAAAGGAGTGACAAATAGAATTCATTATTAACATCAAATACATGTATATTTGCATGTAGAAACATTACTGTACATTACATGCATAGTTACGTACATGTATGTCCACAACATTGATGTACATTACATTAATTCATTACACATGTGTGAGAGATCATACCATACCTTTCCTTCAATGAGAGTCCTAATGAATGAACTAGCTTGATAGAAATGTAGCGAACAGATTCATCATCATCATTCAATAACTCACACGCCTTATTGTATATAGACACACCAATGGACACACCCTCTTCCATCATCTGTAACTATAAAAGCATAATTATACAATGTACATGTACATGTATATATGTACTAATATTATTAATACATATTATACTAGGTTCACACTGACTTTTAAATCTGCATAATGTAATAACTTTCTTATTTTAAATGCTACAGACAGCGGTTTTTCTCCATTATAATCCTCTCCAAAACCCTGGTATTTTGATATATGATAAAGCTAGAGCGCAGTTATAGAAAAGGAGAAGTAAAATCAAAGCACATGGACACTTAAAGAGCACTTGACGCCATTACTACCACCCACGTGCGGTTATCGCGTAGGCGGATAAAATAAAATGGCCGCTGCAGCTACTATCAAGAAGAAGTGGGAAACAGACTTTGAACAATGTACAAGACTCAAAGGAAAGGCCAATACAATTATAGGTAAAGTATAAAACTATCTTAACTTCATACATATACAAAGACAAGGAAAAGGACTGCATAATTGTGCAGCAAATGCTAAGATAGGTAGCCATAGCTTTTTTTACATAGCTTAAGCCTTTATGCTATACTTTTGAAGGTAGGATTTGTATATATGCCTCCTAATAACACTACTTGCTACTTTTCTGCTTTAGAACTGAGTATTATAGCAATAAGAAACATAGTCAGAATGTGACAAATAACAGTCCAAGATCTCAACTTGAACCATTGATAGAATGAAGGATAAGCAGTTGATATACAAGAACTTGAACTACAGACACAATTTGATGAACCTGAGTGTTATTATTCATGTCTGTGGTGAGTTTTTGTGATAAATAGATGATGATCCCACCATAAATTACTTGGAGATACTGCTGTACCTCTCCTACTTAATCTGTGACTTCTCACAACAATGAGGAAGACATCTGACTAGCTTTAAACTTTTAATCTACTATAATTTAACTTTTATTAATAATTATAATACCTGTGATGTGCTGTATTTGAGATAATCATATTCATAGTTTGTATACACAATATAAATAAACACTTAACAAACAATTAGCAGCTACTTCACATGTGACCACCAAACCTGCACTTATAATAACAGTAAAAAGCCAGTGTGGACCTACTATAGTACTTAGTACATAATATTAGTACATATTCGTATGACATATTAGTGCATATAAAGGTACAATTGAGAAATGGTATACATGTATGTACATGTACAATTAAGAAGAGAGACAGATATAGAGAGACAAGTACATGTACATGCATAGATGGAAGTAGGAATTAAGAGACAAAAGGAGAGGGAATATGTACATGTATATGTACATTGTATTGTGGAGAGTGTGTATTATTATACCGTAGGTCGGGATATATTCGCGGCTGCTTATTTTCACGATTTTTTCCCGCACTCAGCAATTACCATGGTTACCAGATGCAATTTTAATTGAAAATGCCGCGATATTAAGAGCAAAGGACTCTGTTGCAGTGTTCTTGGGTTGTTGTTCTTCTTGTTTTTACTAATCTTGGGTCTCTTTAGAGCTGTTCTAACCAGAGCTACTCTCTTCACTCTGCCTCGCCGTATCTTGGCCCATTCTTGGGACTCCCCACCCATTTATTAACTTTGGCGTGGTTAATTATCACCAGCAACTTGCAGCAAGTGGAGCGGCAAGGATTTGCAGCAAAGAGCTCGAAGGTAGTGGTCCATACAAGAAGATAGCGTGGAGAACTGGTTGGCTCCCACTAAAGCTGCTAAAGAATAGATAATTAGCTGCTGAACACTGTAATTGTATAAACACGTGGTCTTATTGTCATAGCAACAATCAATTGGTTTCCATGGTATTTAATTGAACCTTTTTATTATCGTGAAAATAAGCAGCAGCGAATATATCCTGACCTATGGTATTATGTACATGTACATTCATTGTACTTACTAGTGCTTTCATTGCTTCTCTACGGACTCTTGGATCAATGTCATTACAAAACTCAGTAATCAAGAGCAACAGAGCTTCATGACTGGGGGCTCTGTGGCTTAAGCGACCAATCAGATTCAAGTACTCCATCCGGAGGGTATGACTAGGAGAATATACAACCTAACAATAATAATATAATATCAATTTTTTAATAATAATTAAATTCACACGTACTGTACCTCAACAGTTTCTTTAAGACATTGAGTAACAAACTAATGTAATAAAATATAAGAGGTATGACACATGTTAATATACATGTACATGTATGTGTAGAGAGAGTTCTACATGTATAACAATATCCATTATTTTTACCTCTGATGAAAATTTCTTGGCCACTTTCACCCAACACTTTAACACTAGTGCCTTGACATCACTGGAGGCTAATTAATATTAACATTAATTAACCACAAACTTACGATGATCAATGAGTGATGCTATTTGATTTTGCTGGTCGCGTGAGAGTGACGTGACTAACGAAGAACCCCACAAAGCAAATTAACGAGGAGGCAACATAATTATTTCGATATTACCCTACTGCTTCTCTCCATCAAAACAAACAGAGAGCATGATCAATTCGAGGACCAATCGACCAGTTTTAGCAGTTTATGACCACGTGCTTGGGCAGGGCAGGGGTTATATAGTCTCGCGTAGCCAGACCACACCCTCCGTGCCTACGGGTACGGGTGGTGGCACGGAGGGAAATAAAGTAATAAATGAAATAAAGTAATATCTATTATTGTGCGTGGGTGTTAAGCATTATCACCCACGCAATTAGTGCAGCTAGCTACATAGAAACAACCAAAAAATTCATTTACTCTTTTATGATCTATCAGGAGCAATGAATCTATGCAATTAGTCTCAAGTTATGATAATATTACATTATTCAATGGTAAGAATTTTCTCTATTAAAGGTAGTAGTTTCTACTACGGTAATCGATAAAAGTGCAGCACAGATGCAACTCCTAAGGAGCAAAAACTACATATCTTGGACATGAATCATTTTTCCAACCTGCATTTAGCTCTATCAGGACAGAATGACAAGCCACAACTGGCAAGTGACAAATAATTTTGACTATTTGCTAGAGCTATTAAAAGTCAAAAAAATGACTGGCCTACACATAATTATCAGGAAATCATTAAGCATGCAAGCAGTTTACTTTCAAATTCTACTGTAGACATGTAAATAATACTTTTTTGCATGCTTACATGTACCTAATGGTGAGGCTGGGTGACTGGGTATTCTTTCACTATATCTCCAGCACAGTGTCGCAATTTTATGGTGACAAAATATTTTTGCAATAATAACAGGAGCATCATCATAAGTTGTAGTAACATCTGCACACACCCTCAGCTCAAGGAAATCAGTAGTGTTGCTACTGAGTACTTTATTGAACCATGGAAGACCAGGAGCTGCACAACAATCACCTTCAAGATTACCACATCCTTTACCATCCCACAATGGATCAGAGGTGTAAAATATGGATTGATGTGTACCATCAGTAGCAGGATTACCAGATTCACAGAAGTAGTCACTACCAATGAAAGACTGAAGAGTTGCATTTTGAGGACTACCTTGAGAACAAGGACAATTGTAATGACCATCATTGCTGATGAGGAAACTAGCTAGCTTCATTCAGTCCAGCTATTAATGTCCAGACATGTTGACGAGGAGACCATGCATGGGCGTAGGAATGATTCGAAAGTTGGGGGGGCTCAACATTAAAAA